ACTTGAATGATGTTTTGCGTTCATGTTTTCTTCTATGAAGTTGTCCCATCTTCCTTTTTTTTAGTACAAGTTGACCCATTTAAATTTCTAACCTTTTTTCTTCTGCTGCTGGAATTCCAGGTACATACTGTAACCATTATTTCCTACAAATGTTGTCTTCAATTGGTAGAGGGCAATATGAAGCTGCATATGACCGAGGTCGGTTGTATTCTTCTAAACCTTTTCTTTTTCCTTGGGTTGTGAATATAGTTTGGTTCTCTCTCTTGATTAGAAGATAAAGAGAGAATGTTGGTTAGAAGGAAAATGAACTCATGTAAAATGAACTATGCTATAGCTAGATATGCTTACATAAATGGAAGGGTCAGAGGATGTGAGGAATCAATTAACCGAGGTCACAGCAGATAAGCATCCATTTTCTTATTTCTTTTTTAACCTTCTTTTACATTTTATTAATTGGCAACTATACTTATTCTATAAAAATGACATTTTGTTTATAGATCAGAATATTATACAAACATTCTGTGGAGGCTCTTATAGTCATTGGACGCTAGAACAATATCTGCATTTAGGGACAGTTACATCACAAGAATATTGGAGGCTCTTATAGTCATTGGACGCTAGAACAATATCTGCATTTAGGGACAGTTACATCACAAGAATATATGACAGGACACAAGTGGACTTCAGCACAAACAATATCTGCATTTAGGGACAGTTACATCACAAGAATATATGACAGGACACAAGTGGACTTCAGCACACGCACTTCACATTATTCCGAAATTATCTCACTCATATTTATCTGTTTAATGAATGGTATTTATTTAATTAATTTTTTTTCGTTTAGATTCCATTGAGGGACAAATGCAAAGATGGTTTAGGAGAGCTTTATCTCCGATAATTGCAGATATGTTTAGATTCCATTGAGGGACAAATGCAAAGATGGTTTAGGAGAGCTTTATCTCCGATAATTGCAGATATAAAAGTTGACATGCTTGATCATCTGGTTTAGGAGAGCTTTATCTCCGATAATTGCAGATATAAAAGTTGACATGCTTGATCATCTTGAGATAATTGAGGTATCTCACTCTTATCTTTTGATTTTTTAATTGGAATAGAAACTGTGGGAAATGGTATTGGAGTTTCCAGCTTTCTAATGCCTATATCTATGGAAACCCTACTTCATCAATTACTCCATTTAATGAATTATGTATGAAGTACAACAACCTAACGTTATTTTATTATGAAAAACATTCAAATTTAAAATCAAGCATCAAGAAACCTGTCATTGATGCTTGAGATTTTTGATAATCAAACTGGGAGAAAACTTATGCACAGAAGTATTTGCAGATATTTATGCCTTACCCCTTATAATTTCTCTGTAAAGCAAAGCTCTGAATTGCAGACTACCAAAATTTTGATAGTTTCCGACTTTGGCCTTTTTGTCCTCTGAATGGTTCTGAAGCTAAGTGCATTATGCATATTCCTTTTAGGTGTACCCTTCCGATATTCCAGATCTTTCTCTTGGATGCCCTTTAGTTATATCAGGAAGATATGAAGGCAGGTTTCCAGATTCTGCTAAAGTTAAAGGTACCCTTGCGGACATGAGCGTCATTGTCATAGATCTAAAAGTGAAAAATGTGAAAGATACCCCCCTGGACAAGGTAAGTATGGGTTTTTTCAATCGAAGAGCTAGCATTTAAGAAAAAAAATCCCCTCCTGACAATACATTTTTTTGAATGATATGCTGAATATGTTATTTTGGCATTCACTTTAACTCCTTTTTGAGGTCGGTGTCTAATTCCAAACTAGTTAATTTTTAGAGAGAGATTCTTCTTCACAGGTAGTTGCCAAGCAGCAAATTGATGTTCTTAGTTCTCAAGCATGGTTTTATGAAAGCAAGCAACTTGAGGAAAAGGTTAGGTGTTCGTACGTGGCCTTGATTATTATATTCTGTTTGTTGCATACATCAAGATTGTGGCATAAAAGTTATTCTTTTCATGAATAATTATTCTATCAGGTCGATTTCTTGACATAATTATAATATATTGATTGGCCTTCCTATACGGTGGCATTGTCTCGATATTCATTTTGAAGATATTACTTATTGTACTTTTTTTGTGCATCTGTTAAACTGAATCATTCAAACAGCAAGTAGTTCTTTTATAGTCTATCCTTATCTTTTTCTTCTAATGATATACAGATCAGTTGAACTGTAGATGCTCTTAATCTTAATATTTATTAATTATAAATATTAGCTCTTGAAGCTGAGCATGTCTGCTCATGCAAATGAACCTGCTACTCGATGTTGGTGGAAATGCTTCTATTTTGAAACTTACATACTTAAACCTACATAATTTGCTGGTATAAGTGCACTGTTCATGTCAATGAAGAATGTCATTTAGTGTTAGGTTGGAGACCATGCTGAATTTGATTGTATTCTCTTCTAAATTCCCTTTTTCCAACATTATGTAGGTTATCAAACGAAGCATACAGAGTGGAATGCCGTCCGAGTATACTGATATGATCTTAGTCCAGCATGAGATGGAAAAACAACATGGGATAAAGCAGGTACATCATTAGTTTGTTTAATTCCTTAGAGAATTTATATAATATAATCTAGGGTTAGTTGCACATAGACCCCTTGTAGTGTCATTGTCTTCTACTTTCTACCCCTGTAGTTTCATTGTTACGGATGGACCTCCTGGGTTAATGGTTTTTTTACTCTTGTACCTTGGTGAAATTCTTGAAGATATTGCCTACAAGTGAAATTAGTGAGTATATCCGTGGGTAAAAGAGTCAAAAGAATTTAATGAAACTACAGGGGGATGTGCAATTAACCACTTGATCCAAAATGGAAGGTTAATTCCTATAAACTTCTGCCCACAGTCAAAGAAGCACAAGCATAAAAAGAACAAAACCAAAGACCCGCCAATAATTTTGGTCCATAGAATGAAGCTAGGTTTTGGAAATATAGCTGCAACTGCGCAAAATCTCCCTACGGGATTCAGAGAGCTGAAGCCTCAGGAGGCATTCGACGTCCTCGATACTGCTGCCGGATGCTGCAGCAAGTTATGTGACATTTGCTGTTGTATGTGCTTCATCAGGATGTGCTCTAAACTTAATAATCAGTGTGCGATTGCAACGACACAGCTCTGCATGGCCCTATCTTGTTTGGCTTGCTTTGAGTGTTGTAGTTTGTGCTGTGGCAGCAGCAACGATTAGCTGTATCGTTGTATATCGAGATGTATTTCCTCGTGTAAACTACCTATAGTCAGGTTGTATAATGTTAAGTAATAATAATGGGTATTCTGGCCTGCTTTGATGCTGCTCAGATTTGCGCTGCGATGGTGGCGCTGGTTAACCTCAAGTGGATTTGTCATTACTGCATTTCTTCATGTAAAAATAGAGATATTTTAGCTGTATAGCGGAAAAGTATGATATTTACAACATTAATGTGTATAATCTGTTTTCAACGATGGACTGTACATGTCCAAATTTAGATGGACTGTACATGTCCAAATTTAAATTCTCGCAAAACCAATAAATTTTATAATAGAAGGTATGCCGAAAATCATACAAAGAGAAAAGAGAAGGCAGTACCCGCCCCACTATCACTTTTAAATCAAGACCAACAGTTCAAAAGTTCGTTGCAAACAAATTTTGAATCAATGTATATACATATATATCGGTGCAATCACCACCTTTGAAACTGATATTTCAAAAGTTCGTATATGATAATTTTAGGTCACGCACTATATAATTTTAATTTCAATACTTGCATTGAAAACTAGCCAAGATCTAACTGATCTTGTGCCGGAGATCAAAACGTTGGCGATTGAATATGAAACTGTAGTGAATCTAGCGTATATAAATTAAACAAAACATCGAGGTTACTCCCTAATTCGAAATGGCATTTTAATTTCAGCTTAACATACACTTAAATATCAGAAACCCTCCGCAATAAATAGAAAAGCTTGAAGTACAATTATGAGAATAGCATATCCTTATTCCAAAACCTAAAATTACAGAATAACAGAAACGCATTGATCTCAACCAGCAGATCTAGAAGCCATTGGTGAAAAAAAGTAGGCTTGCAAAAGCCTGCGGATGAGATGGCGTAAGTTAACTCAGTCGAAATCAAGGAACTCCATTCGCTTTCTCATGGAACCTTTCAAATCTGTGGCATCTCTTTCAGCCTTCTGTGCCTGTAGATGAAATTGTTCATAAATAATGATGTTACTAGAGGAACAAGAAAAAGCCACTTTCTTGAGGCATTTGAAATCAACAGCCATAATTGTTTGATGTGAATCCTTTATCGAGTAAAATTTTGTACATTTTGCTTCCATAAGCATCAACTGAAGCTTAAAATTAAAAACATCAGAAGCAAAGACAGTGGACTGCAATAGACAGGGATAGCTGTTGGTGCAAAATCAGTAAAGATATCTCAAAGGAACAAGTTTACTTGGAGTTATCATTTCGATTGAACAAAAAAAAAAAAAAATCTCTCACGAAACTTGAGCAAGATTTACATGATTAAACCGAAATACACAAGCAGAAAGGATATAAAGCTCTTTTACAGCCTACTAATTTCCTAAAAAACCAATCGGACTATCTAGAAACCCTAAAGAACAAACATTATACTGATTAGGTTCACAAATGTATGGCTTGTGGTCAAACTTTTACCAATCTAGTTGGGGTCAAAATGCTAGAATGTGATTGTGCTGCCCACTCTGGACATATGCACACTGAATACACATAATATAACCTTGAAGGCTTCTATCAATTAGGTAACAGATCTAACGATCTGTGTGTCAAACACAACCTGCCGTATCTTGTAGTAGTAATAATAGTCAACAATAATCAACTGAAGTAATCTTAGAAAAGTGGACCTCGAGCTCAACGAGAAAAAGCTAAAAAAGGATTTCTTTTGCCCAAATGCAGTCCCCAGAACACATGCAGATTGACCAGACAAACCGAGTAAGACAGAAATTGTGATTTACCTTTTTAATCTCCGCAACAGAAACACTAATCATGTGAGCAGGAAGTTCCTCTTTCTCCAAGTCCTACTTCCATTAGAAACAGTAATTAAATATTTCCAACAAAGAAAGGTGGTTCTTTCAATGAATTATAAAAAAACTATACAGTAGTTACCAGTTCTCCAATCAGGACGACATTTTCCCCCCGAATCACATACAGCCCAAGAGGGATATCACAATATAGATCTCCTACTATAACTCTTTCACAGGCACCTTCAAGAACAGCATTTGCTACGATAGGCAACAAAGCATGTCAAAAAAGTTAGAATGTTAACAAGTCTTGTCCGGAAAGCTTGCAATATGAAAACAAAGGAACGGTTGATGATTACCAAATTGATCAAAAGATCGCAGAATCCCCAAGAGTTTTCGGCCATCTCTTAGCAAGACAAGAAGCTTCTCTGCAATTGAAAGAAAGGCAAGGCAAGGCAAGGCAAGTTGGTGAGTTTGAAGGAACCCTCCAAATCGAGAATGCAATAGTCATGAATAGAGAGAGGGAGGAAAATCCACAGCCTCATAGGACCAAATTTACACAGATAGGCATTGAATCAAAGTGCTGGATACATGTTAAATCGTGCAGATTATTAAGAACTCCCTTATAAATCATAAATAAATGTCATAATAATACCTGCATTACATTCAGGGGCAGAAAATGCCCCACAAAGATTTACGAAATAACAAACATTAGAATCAACACAGCATCAAAATTGGTGTCATTCCTTTCATTTAGCAAACTCAATTACATCCAATGCCAACTATATTTGCTTGTTTCATATTGATTTTCATATTTTCAGAATATATTTCGGCAAGGGTTTGGGCATGCACAGCAAAGAAAGCTCGAGTTCACCATCATTCACTACTAAAAGCAGAAATAACTTATGTACGACACTAATTACGCCCGTATTAAAATAACGTCATAAAAATAAGATCTTTGTCAGTTCAACAGATTAACCTAACTAGATTCATCATCAAACAAAAAGTTGCAGCAATCAAATCTAAAAGAGATAAGAGAACAATAGAGTCTTAGAGATTACTGTCAAGATAGCTCGCAAGGGAAGTAGAGAGAAAGACATCGTCCAATCCCGAGCACGACATCGAAAAAGGAGGGAAAAGATTGAAACTTTGACGAAACCCTAGCTTCCAAACCCTAGTTCTCGCTGAAATTGGGCGGATCTGGGAGCCCAAGGGCCTTTATAAACTCGAAACCCTAGCAGGATACGGACTGCTCTACTCCTCCCATGAGGGGATCGAGAGAGGGATTAGATTTGGAAGCGGAGAACCAAGAAAGATTGAGTTTTTGACCGAAAGAAAGAAAATAATAAAGGCGGTAGAAATTACCTGCCGCCGTCCGCCAACTGTAATTATTACTTGACACGCGACCTAATTTGCACTTAAGATTGGGTCTAATTGCAAAATGGTGCAGAATTTTCTATTTAACACCCGATTCTTTCAAAATAACACTCTTCAAGAGGCCAGAAGTAAAACTATATGTTGATATTTCTCGAGGGGGGAAAGTGGAGATTGGTCAACTGTTCCTACTGACCTTGGATAATTAGCTTAGAATCCCCGTTAAGTTAATTTAGGATCACTAGAAATTAGTTTATTTGGATTTATTTTGGCCCCGCAATCTCGATAATAAAAATCTCAAACAATCTCAAACTTAAAAACTTGTTGCATCATGCAAAATTCTCCACGTATCCGAAGGCGAAGCCACGTCAGGTCCAAGTCGCGCAACTTGGGTTTTGGGAATTTATACACCAGTATGTATAAAATCAACTTATATATTTATATATGCGTGACACTATGCAAAATTTTTCAATTTGTTTTTTTGCCACACCTAACTCTCAAATTTTACCTTGGGGAGGGGTGTTACACAAATAGAACTCAAACTAGGATAATTTGTGGGATAGAATCTTGTAGTGTTTGTCAACTAGAACTAAAAGTAGAATAAAATTTTATAGTGTTAGTCAACTAGAACTCTAACAAAACTAGAACTGAGATAATTGTATAAGATTATCACATCATTTTATTTTTCTATGCAAAAATGAGGGTTCTCCTTTCTCAAATTATCCCAAGTTTTAGCTTAGAACTATACGGTAAAAAAAACTAGAACTCATGTTTATTTTATTATTTTTATATTTATTTTTTCTTTAATTCTTTCCTATTATGGTCATCACCATCATTAGACCATGTCAGATTAGATATCGTCTCCTCTTAGTCATCTCTGATATTTTCTTTATTATGGGACTATTCTAATTATATAATTAATGTAAAAGTAAAGATTACATCAATTTATAATTTATTAAACAATAAAATTGAGAAATGAGGAAAGAGATATTGGAGAGCGAAAAAAGGAAGGAAAATGTGAAAAAAAATTCAAAAAAAATTAGACTTGTACTATATGATAATGATTAAAAAATAAAAAAGCTACAACGTATATTATAATATTATTTGTCAATATCTTATAGTTTAACCAAAAGTTATTTAGTAGTAAATAACATTCCCATAAACAATTATCAATCAATAATACTAAGTTTAAAAATACATAGATAGTATTTACATTCTCAAAATGCATAAATATATACTTTATGAATATAAAAATTTATCCACGTTATTTTCTTAAAATATCCCGCATCGCAAAATTGTTCCTATTTATTCCACTAAAATATCCCACTACCAAGAAAAAAAGTTTCACTTTAACAATTATCCCATTTTGCATGAAAATATCCTAATTGGCTAACACCCTCTTAATAAAAT